GGAATACCCCCCTCTGGGGTATTCGGAGACGAGTCAGCCAACGGCTGAAAGTCTCCTTAATAAAGATATAAAAAAAAGAATAACATAAATTAACATAAAACTCGTTTAAAACTACGTTTATTTGTTTCTCGTGACACGTTGAAATCGTACACATAATAACACCGGTTGAATACACGGGATATGCTTCGCAAAGGTTCGTGTAAGCCATAATTAGTTCTTGCCGGAGGGATGGTGATAAACGAGTGCGACCGAAGATTGCGACGACGTGTGTTGATGTTCAAGAGACTAAGAAGCGTAGGACTGTCAATGTTGCCTTGCAGAAGATCCCCAACAAAGCACGCTTTTGCCACGTTGCGTCCTGCTTCTAGTAATTCCAGATTTATAAGTAGACAACGGCTTTCATTACTGGGCACGTTGAATGGATCTTTCCACCTAAGATGACGTAGAGCGTACCGGACGAATTTTCGCTGAACAGCTTCGATGCGTTGAATTTCATTCTGGTAATAAGGAGACCAGACGATAGACGAATACTCCAAGATAGGGCGCACAATTGAGCAGTATAAAGCTTTTAGGCAGTAAACGTCCTTGAACTTTTTTGCAAAGCGAAATAAAAATCCTAGTTGCGATTAGGCTTTAGACACAACGTACTCGACGTGATCCTTGAAGGTTAATTTTGTATAAACCAGAATCCCCAGGTCCTTGACTGTCGAATCACGTTGTAGATTCACGCCTCCCAAAGCATAGCTAAAATGGAAGAGTGATTGCTTGCGGCCAAATGAAATAACCGAACATTTGGACACGTTCAACGAATGATAACTAAAAAATGAGAATAGCTTCAACCCTCTCATTCCAAACCACAAATGTCCACAAAAAAGAGACAGCTTATGGAAATCAATGCTCTCCCTCTCCACAAAACTATAGAATTTATCATTTTGTTTTTATATGCTCATTTCTCGCGTCACTTTTCAAATAGACCAATGTTACATATCTACCATTTTGAGGAAATCGAAGTTGAAGTTCGACAGATTATTATTTTAACTGTTAGAAACAATACATTTTGCAATACTATTTTAATGTAGTCAGAGAATAATTACGTTGAAAATTCAGTAGGAATGGTAAAATCACAATTTTGCTTTGAATTTCCTGCTACAATATAGAAAAAACCACATAGGACGTCAGAGTTGGTTGGAAATGCTAACATGAAGCTTTTGGCGTGATGATTTATTAGCTAGAGAATGCAAGGGGGGTGACACATCTAAATCTCAATTCTAGATGCTCAAAAAATCTCACACTTGCCAATAAATCTTTGAAAAATCTTCTTTCATTTCTCGCATCTACTTGCATCGTGCATCATCTTTTTGCAGGAAATCTTCAAAATCGTGATAAATCTTCTTTCTATCTACTCAGCGTACGCGCAGCTATCCATAGCAAAACACAATATTTCCTGCATCGTACATAGAGTCGTCCCCCTCGAGAGAATGATCTTTAGAAGAGGGTAGGTGGATAGTTCCGTTAGAGTACGGCAGTATGAAAATTGAATAGAAGTTGAAAATGAGCGAAGGGCCATTAATGCGACAGTTTTTAAAGATAGACGCACATTTTTGCCTAACCCGTACGATGTACGCGGGGACTTGAAGTATGTCTCCAAGTCCACAGGCAAAAATGTGCGTCCCTCTTTTTGCTCATAAACTGACTGCGGCTGTGGAATAGTTCTAGCGACGTTTTCATCACTACCTAAAGCCCCACGTTGCGAGAGCATTTCCAGTCGATGGTGTGTTCTTTACCCAACTATTGTGTTGCTCCTCTCGTCATGACCAACGTGATCATCTCAGAGAGAAAGCAGTAGGGTGGTTGTTGTGTGCTTGTACCATCATCAGCATTGTTGACGGCTACTTCCGCCTTGAGTTGTTACATTCTCGCAACGTGCAATAAAACAAGACTGCAATAAAACAAGAAATGCTACTTGGGATTTCAAGACTAACTTCATTTTGAAGACATTCAAAATTCTGTGAAGGAATTTTTTCATGCAGACATTTCGAAGACATTTCATGATATGTGAAGTTGTTTCAAGACATGCGGAAGCTGAGGAAGACTTCGGTGGATTTTTTTAAATTTTAACCTGGCATATGAAGATTTTTGTTAAATAAATGAAGTTTTTGACTTCATATTTTGAGCTTCTCCCTGAATATGTTATATATAAATAATGTAACCAAAATCCTATATTTCAGAATAAAACTTGATCGAATTGAATATTCACAGGACTTCACTGAAATACTCGATTAGCTGAAGATCTTTTGAATACTTCCTGATCAACGTTCAGTTTTGGCAGAATATCTTCACAATAATACTTGATTAACCTGAAGCCTTGAAAAATATCCAGAAGACTTTATATACATCTTCGATCAGCTGGAGATCTTTTAAGTACTTCTTAACCGATCTGCCATCTTGAGAGAGCCAATTGAATGTTTAACCAGTTTAAGATCTTCAGATGTCCTGATCAACCTGAATTCACTAATGTCTGACCAACCAGCTATCTTGAAAGACTATCTAGAGACGTTATTTGAATTTTATGAACAGTTGAATATCTTAAGAATAATAATTGATCAACCTGAAGTCTTTTGAAAATATCCAGAGGTCTTTAAATCTCCGACTAGCTGTATATCCTTTAAATACTCTCTGATCAAACTTCCGTCTGGGAAGGATGTCTAAAAGACGTCCTTTGAATTTTCAAACACTTGCAGAACTTTAGAACATTACTTGATTAAGTTGGAAAGTATTGAATAATATATGTATTTAGAAAAATCTTAACGAGATCGACGAAATGTTTTCTATGCTACTTTTAAAATTTGTGGGTGAGAGTTCAGTATATCAGATTTTTAAAACTGATCTTACCAGAAGTTCAGGGACAATTCGTAAAAGTTAACAGAACATCATTTGATTTCAAGGAACTTCATAGATCTTCATGAAAAGCCGTAGAGCTTTCGAAAACTTCGTAGACATTCATTTAACTGTGTTAGAAGTTCTGGAAACTTTTGAGAAGTTCAGAAAATTTTATAGAAGCTAGCTGAAAGCTATGTAAATGCACAACAAACTATTTAGATGGACACTGAACTTTATAGAACTTCACAGAATTTTGTAGAATTTCAGCAAGCTTTGTAGCAGCTCAGTGAACTTTGGTGAACGTCATCAAAAATTGCTGGAAATTGGCGAGCTTTAAAGAAATTAAGTGAATCGTTGAAGCTCAGGGATTTTTCTTTAAGTTTATTCGACTTTTTAAAACTTCAGGGCCTTAGTAGATGTTCATGAAATATCGTAGAAATTAGAAAGCTTCAGAAGAAATTCAGGGGCTTTGTAAAAATTCGGGAAAACTTCTTAGGCTTGGGAACCTTGTACAAGTTTGGGGAACTTTGTTGAAGTTAAGGAAACTTTGTTTAATTTTAAGCAACTTCATAAAAGTCTTATTTTAGTTTCAGGGAACTTGGCTAAAATTGAATAAACTTAGAATAAATCAGGAAATTCCGTAGAAGTTAAGGAAACTTTGTGAAACTTCAAGGAGAAGTCAAGTGAGTTACACAGCAATTCGAGGAACTTTGAAAAATTTCATAGAAGTGCTGGGATTTTTTTAAATGTTCAAGGAACTTCATAGAAGTTCAACCAAAATTGTAGAAGCTCAGCGAATTTCGTATCGCAGTAGTTCAGCACATTTCTTAGAACTTCACGGTTTGATTTCAAAACTTACTGATTTTGTCATGGGAAAATTCATAGAAATGGTTCATGGTCTTTCCTGAACTTTGAAGAAGGTCAGGGATGTTCTGAGATATTGGATGAAATTGAGAGAACTTGGAAAAAATTATAATTATGGAACTTGGAAGAAGTTCATGGAACTTTGTAAAAATTGAGAAAATATTCAAGATATAATGATAAGGGAGCTTTGTAGGTGCTCATGGAAAGCAATTGTTTCACCCCTCAGGAAGATTTTGGTGTGAAATTTACCACCTGCTGAGTACGGTGTATTTAGTATTAATTTTGTTCTACTAAATTATACTAATGGCCCACTGTGCAGTGAATTAATAGATTTGATGAGACCTTTCTGATTATTTCAACATGATTTCATCTGTAAAAAATACATCCTCCAGAACAAATTAAATACGTGTTAGTTTCAAGAGGCCGCAGTTAGCCTAGTCAGTAAGGGCATGGTATTCCCAAGTAACCAACAAGCCCGCTAATTGCAATACACTGGAGTCGCTTTTTACGCGGTTTTTTTACACGGTCTTTTTTTACGCGGTTTTTTTTTTACGCGGATTTCGGAATTTACGCGGATTCCGGAATTTACGCGGTTTTTTTTACGCGGGACGTATCACCCGCGTAAAAAGCGACTCCAGTGTATAAGGCCAATATGCGGCTAACATAAAGCTTAGCATGCCCTATGTTAGCCGTGTAACAACTTTATATTGCAAAAAGGCGAATTAGCGGGCTTGTTGGTTACTTGGGTTATCAAGCCGGAGTTCAATTCCCGGTCCGGTCGAGCAGTTGGAAATTTTCTCGACTTCCCTGGTCATAGAGTATCATTCAATTTGCCACACAATATACAAATTCATGCATTTTGGTTGGCATAGAAAGCTTCCAATTAATGACTGTGGAGGTACATCTAGAACACTAAGTTGAGACCCGACAAAACGCTCGAAAAAGATGCGTAAAAAGCCAAGACGATGAAAGTAGTATCTAAATACTGTCATGCGTTATGGTTATGTTAAACAAATTGGAACCCCTTTACAGAAGTCCATTGTCAGTGAAGTGAGGGTCCATCAATGACGGATCCAATGTTTATCCTTATTGATCCGTTAGCCGTTAATCCCCTTTACGACCATAAATCGTGGAAGTTGAAGTAGACCGATTGGAGAGCGTTGGAGTCTTCGAGCGTAAAATGTTGCGGGAAGCACTCGACGTTAAACTAGATAAAGATATCTGGTGGCGTCACGAGTTGCATCAAGTATAAAAACGGTATCGATATTGTGAAGCCTTTAAAACACGGCATGGTACGATACTCAGTAAAGAACCCGGACAAGGTTCCTCGAAAAAGTTGGCGACTGGATGTGGTTGGCTCAGGACTCATTTCAGTGGAAATAAATGTTCGTTTTGACATGTATTAACGAATTGTAGCCCAACAGCCTGTTATCCGAAGGCTGCTAAACTGTATGAAAAATGCCAAACTCACCTATAACAGCTCGTATTGCCGCAGATGCATCCGCTGAATGATGTCTCGACAATCGTTGAAAACTCTCTTGATGTTTTCGGTGTCTACCGCACAGGTAAAGTGTGGATAGCAATAATGCTTACCATCGCCACTGGCTGTCGATATACGCTACAATTGCATTGGATAGATCTTAGTATGTAAACATTTGTTGAATGGCAAATTATTGATACTAACCAAAAATTCATCTCTTATGAAATATTTTGCCCTAATCACTTCTGGTTCTTCACCCATCTCACAAACGGCATCGGCTGAAATATATGATTACATAATTTATCTTTAGCAGAATGCATAAATACGCGTAATTTTGGAACCTACCCGGCGTCTGGTAACGATTGAACTCACTAAAGTAGTCGGAAAGTTTACTTTTGCCAGCTTTGATTTTCTCCGCCAGCAAGTCTTGTTTGTTCAGAAACAATATGACCGATATTGTTCGTAACCATCTACAAAAGCGAACATAGGATTGTTGACATGCTCTTATACTGTCAAGGAATCTTCCCCAATTACCTATTGTTCCAAATACTTTTGAACAGTTCCAGCGATTCTCTCAGCCGATTTTGCGTGGGATCCTCCCGCAGGACCATATTATAACTAGAGCACGCTGTCACGAAAATGATTGCAGTGACATCGTTAAAACACTGGATCCACTTACGCCGTTCGTCCCGCTGACCACCGACGTCGAACATGCTGAAATAGGTGAAGATAATTAAATCACAGTTGTTCTTGAATCGGAAATTCGATACTTACTGAAAATTAACCTTATCAACTTGAAACCTAGTTTCGAATATACCCGACGTTAAGACACGACATCTCAGTATATCCTGCTCGGTTGGAGTATAATTAGGCTGCTTGATTTCACTAACACGATCCAGAAAGCTGCAAATTGCAGGGGAACATTGATTAGTACTGACGCGTGTGTGGGCGATGGGACCCGAAAGGGGCAAACAAGTGTGATCACTTACTATTTAGCACAATCAATTAATTGGTATTCATTCGATCGCTCGTAGGTCTGCTGCACACCACGATCTTTCCACAATTCTTCTGTATTCTCGTAGAACTCCGGTGGATAATTGAAGTCGGGACCTGAAAGATACATGTTTAGTGATTAGACTGCCACCTGTTGAGTCATTCGATATTACCTGATGCGTAATCCTGAATGTAGTCTACTCTCGCCTGGTTATCTGGCTTTTCTAATGGAATAGGAGGTGTTAGTGTGCTCATTGCACCGGTAATTGTCTGTAAAAGAGGAATTCAATTTGCATGACGATTAAGTACTTATAACACTGAATAGTCAAATAAGTTAGAGCAGCGCACGTCTCTGGATACTTACCAATATGGCATCTCTGATATTCTTTTTGATATCCTCTATTTTCTGTTTCCTTTCTGTGTCGGAAAATCCATTAACATGCAATATTCTCATTTGTTTTACGATTGTTGACTTGCCGGATTCACCGGCGCCCAACAGTAACAGTCTATGGGTGGCTCTGTAAACCTGTCGATAGGAAAATGATCCAACGGTCCAGCAATAGTGGCGAACGACGACGCAGAGTGAGAAAATGAAAAGAAGGAAAACGTATAAATAAGGAAATTAGTCAAGTTGCTTTGCCCTGGCGATTGGCTCGTTAAGAGTCAACCGAAAATATAATGGTCACCACCATCAGCGCAGCGGGCAGCTAGCAACAGTAGCTCGATGTTACATCGTCCAACGTAATTTTTAATTTATGTAAAAGTCGAATACATTTCACAAGTCACAAGGACACTGGCTATTGAGACGTTGCATATATTTTAGATAGAAGGTAAGTATGAGGGACACGTTAGTTTTTTTTAAGAAGGAAGAGACAAAACGGGCTGAAAATAAATAATGAAATAAAATCAGACACGAAAGAAAAGGAGAAGCAACGTTAGAAAAAAATAAAAACAATTTTTCTTTCCACTTGTACCGTCGGATTTGATAAAGTGTTACAAATATGAGCAGTTCCACGCCAAATAATGAATCGTAAAAACTCGACCATCTCCGATTTGAATGAAACTTTGCATAATTGTTTGTTATTGGCAGTGATTCATATTTTTGCTTAATTCGGCCATTTGGGATCTTGTAAAATTTTCAAAATGGCGTTCATCAAATTGTAGCACGAAAAAGGCACTTTGATCGAAATGGAATTATACAAAAACGTGTTTTTAGTAATTTCGGGTTAGAATTCCGTCAAAAACCTAAATGTCTCAAAATGTTATTGTTCAATTTTTATATTAAAAAATGGCTTATGAGAAATGCAAACTTATAGAATGTTTAAAACAATGGACACTTAAAAATTGACAAAAATCGAAGAAAATGAACTTTTGGTCACTGCAAGTGGATTTGACGGGTTTTGTGTTTCAGACGCTTGTTTTTGGCCTCTTCTTGTGTCTAACATGTGCAGAGTACCATTATAACGTCTAATGGTTTTGAGATTCCTGGTGGCGTGAAATATATTTGTGAGAATATCTTTTGGAGATTTTAACAGTCACGTTTTGTTTGTAGTTTACATTTTATTTATTCATGTAATTATCGTAAATAATAGTTATTCAATAATAGATAGTTCATCCATGTATTCATACTTTGAAGCGAAGCGCTGTGGATTATGAGATGCTCGATGACCCTGGAGGGATCGATTTTGCTTACTGAGCAGAAAATCATAGATTTAACCCCAAGCTCATCCACAGCACAATAAATCGCCACCATCATTTGAATATTTGATATTGAACATTAACCTCGGAAACTATTTGCATATCAAGCGAAAACGTAGTCCTGATATGCTCGATGACCCTGGAGGGATCATTTTTGCTTACTGAGCAGAAAATCATGGGTTTATTCCCAAGCTATCCGTCATGACTCTTAAAATTCATTATCACTAAACAAAATTAATATGTTCTTTCGATAGCCGGCTATCGAGAGATTAAATAAACAACAAATAAACAATACATACTTTTGGTTGCATCGCCAACTTGAGGTGAATCCTAACCGAATACCCTACCCAACCCTCCAACTCCGTAGCACTTATGAGGGTGTCGCTAAGTCGGTGGCCTCTCGTTAAGTAAGTACTACATCAACATTTCCTTCCCTATCCCTAGTTACGGTAAAGATGGGCGTGGCCGGGAATAGCGACAGTCATGCTTCTGTTACTCTTGTTTAGATTGGAACCAATGTTTACTCCTCAGCATTATTCCTGAAAGTAGTCTAACTGAGAATTTCAGAAGAGACGTGAGTGTCGCTAGTATCCAATCTACGAAGTATACCATAACAACGCTAACGCTAACGCTAACGCTAACGCTAACGCTAACGGTAACGCTAACGCTAAATTTTATATTAAAAAATGGCTTATAAGAAATGCAAACTTCTAGAATGTTTAAAATAATGGACACTTAAAAATTGACAAAAATCGTAGAAAAAGAACTTTTGGTCAAATTTTTGAAACGTTTTTATGTAATCTATACTCACTTAGTGTGCTAACAAAAAGTTCAATAATTTAACCAAACAGTTATTTCTTGTTCTATGATTTTATCAGTATTCAAGTGTACATAATTTAAAATATTTCAAAAGTTTGCATGCTTAAATAGAAGCCTTTTTCAAATTTTTTTTTCTCCAAAAATCAAGCAAGGACATTTTAAGATACAGTCAACTTCCACAACTCGATATCCACTAACTTGATATCTAGTTATAGTATAAAACCATAGGAAACATTAATTTCATGGCTACTGTCATACTGTCATATAACTCGATGATCCCTTAAATCCCGATGATTTCTTAAATATTTTTGTTTTAATTTTTTTAAGCATTTACTAAAAATAAATAAAAAAAACTTTTTTTTGTGTATTTTTCCAGCAAGACATTATTTTTCTATACAAATTTGTCTCAGACGTCGTTTCTATCAAAAGTGCCGTTTCAGTGCAGCAATTTTCAGAAAAAAATTCAAAGACGCCAGTTTGAAAATTTTACAAGATCCAAATTGGCCGAATTTGAGCAAAAATGTGAATCATTGTCCAGAAAAAAATGAAAATGGTAGAGTTTTTTTCGATTCGTCATTTGGCGTGGAATTGCTCAAATTGATAATATTTTGCTAACTGCTTCTTGATTCCATGTTCGACGATTGACTACTTTTTCAATTTGTTGAAAAAGACCGGATTTAAGTATAACATGGTTGTTTCTTAAGGGTTTCGTACAAACACATAGAAACATTATTAGATTTACTTCGTCATACGGATGAAAGCAAAAATAAAATGGAAGAATGGTTTCGCAAGGAGGGCTCAAATCCATGCCAATAGCGAAAAAATAAACGAATTTCAGATTTGACCTCTCAGAATTCCATGAAACTTCGCATAATTGGGGCAATGAACCAAGTTTGTGCTGGAATTAAGTTCTCTGTCAAATTATCCTGAATTGGATACACGGGGAAGATCGACGTGACACTCCTCCGACACCAGTCCCCTCTAAGACCAGAAGGTCCCGAAAAAACGCGCTCAACTTTTTGGCTCAGCTCTGGTACTATCTTCGGTCCCAAGCTAATTGATGCACCCCTCAAAACATAGGAAAATCCACGAACCCCTCATTTTGACTGTCAAACTTTCATACCGAATCTAAACAAACATAGTGCAGTACTAGAATTTCGACTAGAATGGGGTACATTAATCGTTTGCTTGGGACCAATAGGCTAGTCAAGTAGTGAGCCAATTTAAAATCGTTAGTTGGCACCCGTTGGTAAAATCTTGTGTGGATCATATTGTCACGCTCCATATCATCCTGGAGCAGAACGACGAATTCCAAGAGGCCCTTTGGTATGCATTGACTACGAAAAAGGTTTCAACTCATCGGAAAAGGTTTCAATCTCATTGAAGCTTATTACGAGTCTTTCACGGGCAAAGCCTTTCCTACCCACTCCGGTGGCAGAACCGTCATCCACCAACATTTTGCTTGAAGCCAAAATTGTTGGTTATTTGACTCGATTATCTGTCAATCTAAGACAGCTGATGCAAACATTGAGAAATTATGCTCCGTCCACATAGATGTTTGATTTGTTGCGCGGAAAAATAACCGTGATAAATGTTCAACAAGCGCGTACAAGTAGGAATTAAATATTTATTATATTAATTTTTAAATTAAGTAAACTTATCATGAAAAATTCAAGTTTCATTAATGATTATTCATAAGGTTTTTTAACGCATACGTGCCGTCAATGCGCATATAAACATAGCATAAAAACTGTACGCTACAGTGCTGACACCACCAATGGTGGTGGCTTCAGTAACCCTTCTTCTTGGCAGAGGATTGGTCCTACTCTAACCGGGTCGTCACTGGTGTGAGAAAATAATGGTCGAGATCTTGGTATGTAGGGCTTTCATAATGGAGCCCCTCGACCACTTAGATTTGGATACTAATAGAGCCCACAACGGCGCTCTAATATGAAGAATTTAAAAATAAGCTCAACGACCTAGCCGAACGCACCTCTGCGGTGGGTCTCACCACCAACGTCAACAAGACCAGATCGTTGAATGTAAACACGGACAATCCTTCCACCGTTACAATAGTAAGCAGTGGAGAAGGTTGAAAGTATACAATATTTTAGCAACCAGATAGCGTCAGATGGCAGGACCAAGGTGCACAAATCAAGATTGTGGGCAGGGTTACTTCCACTCACTTGCTATAAAAAATTGTGTTTCCGAATTATGAAAACATTAGATGTGATAATGATAATTAGTACTTGTAAGTTGTGAAGAAGTAAAAGTAAGAAAAGGTTGTGAAGTATGTGTTTGACACATTAAACCTGTCAAAATTGCTTTCAGTGCGTCACAATCAGCGATTTAACGATTCGTGAGTGCTCACTCGCGAATCATAATATCGCCGATTGTTACGCTCTGAAAGCGAAATTGACAGGTTTTATGAGTCAAACACATCCTTTACACCTTTTTCTTGTTACTTAAAAGTACAGCATATCATTATATTATCTAATGATCTCATAATCAACCATTGTTTTATAGCAAGTGAGTGGAAGCAACCTTTATTGTGGGTTTACGAAACATTTGGAGCTCAATCTAGCTTAGCCAAACTCCGAATTATCAATTCAAATGTGAAATCTTTACTGTTGTACGCCAGCAAGACATGGTCCGGATCAGCGGAGATCACTTCAAAGTTTTAGGTCCACAACAATCGTTGTCTGTGGTATATAATTTGTGCCTGGTGGCTTCAAAACTGGATCTCGAATGCTGAACTCGATCGTCTAATCGCGAATTTGTTTATTATTAAGTTCCAACCTGGATCGGGTATCAAGATCTGCTCTGCTTATTTTCCGACAAACGTCTCTTTGATCGTTTGTTTTTAAAACCTCAGGTTGAGGTTCGCACTGACAAAAAGTTCGGTTTCACACTGGGTTGGAACAGGTTCCAACCCCGATAATAAACAAATTCGCTATAAGTCATCAGAAGCCGATATTAACAAAAAATCAAAAACTGAGGTGGACGTGGGTCGGCCACACATTACAAATCTGCATTGGAACCCAGCAGGACATCGTAACATAAGCAGACCCAGACCCAGGGACTCATGGTCAGCGGAAGCTCAATAAGGAAATTTTGATCCACTGAAGGTGTACACGATAGAAAGTGAGTGAGCGTTCGTATTAACGAAATTCGGGGGTATTCAATCATTCGAGGGGCTGACATTCGGAGTATGTACAACCTTACAATCAAAATTCAGAGTAATGGACCATTTGAGCCAATTGGACATTCGGGGTAATGTCCCAAAACCATTGTTATATACCCATGTATTATTTTCTGTGCATGTCGTTCTTTTTTATCACTACTGAGAAGCAAAGAAGACTCTACTGTGCTTTCACAAGGGTCAATGTCGCAAACGTAAACAATTAGGTCTCCCGCGAATTTCTCCCGCCCAAGTAAACAACCACGATGATTGTATAGAGGAAGAGTCCTCCTATCCGATAGGATTGGTGGATTGCATGGATAAACTTTGAATTGATAGAAATCTACGAAAGGCTTCATTGCTTACGTTTGCGGCATTGTAAAGTGGTCCAGAATGGAAATTTAGCAGGAATAGTAGTCCTATAGCTTTTGCTGTAATATTTAGACGTTTGGTGTCTTTATTGAAGTTTTTGTGCTTGAAAATTTCATTCTTATTGTGGTTGTAAACATGAGGGTGTCCTTAAAATAATTGATATTCAAAAATTAACTTTTTTATTTTTGAAATTAAAGACGTATGTTATTGAGCAAAGTTGTAGCCGAGTTAATTTCAATAAAATTTGTGAAAACATATTTTTTCAGCATTGAATTCAGTTGCACCTGAAAAATGTAGTTTTTAAGCTCTAAATAATTTGTTAAAATTTTCTCTTATCATTCGTTTATGGTATTGTTTATTAAAGAAGTCGTCGTCAAGAAACTTTCAGAACCTGTTAAAATAAACAGTTTACCATTGTATTGCACTTGTATTGCACCAAAGTAGACTCCTGTGCTAAAAATAGTCCCCAGTTTTTTTTTCGCTCAGGCCAGTAACAATTAAAATTGATCATTTTGAATGTAATTTAGCGCAACATTGTACATTAGAATATCACGTCAACAATCAACTGGTGATAGAATATTAAAAACTTTAAATTTTTATTTTTTCTGGCTTTCGGGGAAAAACCACAGGGACTATTTTTAGCGCTGGAGAGCAAATCCACGTCTAATACCGAAAAAAGTAAACGTATTTCAAATTTCATCTCTCAGAATTCCATAAAACTTTGATTAGGGACAATGAACCAAGATTGTGTGCGTAATTTTCCCAAATGGCGAATTCAATATTTTTTTAATAAATCATAGTACGAAATTGATTCCTCTAATCGAAATTGAAATTACGTCTGAGACAAAGTTGTAGGAAGCTAAATTGCCTTTTCAGGAAAAATACGCACCGAAAAAAAATCACAAATTTTCGTCAAAACATGAACAAAACAATTAAAACTTCAATCACGAAAAAAGTACATTTTATGTTTCATTCCTTTCCTTTCTAATAAACAAAAAATTAAAAATCTTACAAGTGTTTTTTTTTGTTTCTTTTCTATTTTTTGGCGAAAATTTGTGATTTTTTTTTCAGTGTTCATTTTTTTTCTGAAAAGGCAACCCAGTATCCTACAACTTTGTCTCATACGTCATTTCAATTAGATGAGCCGTTTTCGTGCTATGATTTCAAAAATATCGAATGCGTCGTTTTGGAAAATTAGGCGGGAATCAAAATGGAATTCCTGCACAAACTTGGAACATTGCCTGTAGGTAACAATTATGCAAACTTTAATAGAATTCAGAGAGGGTAAAACGCTGTCCAGACTGGAGAGTTATAACATGTTATAACGGTTGTCAAATAATCGCAACATAGAATCCACCATCAAGATAGCGCTATAACATGTTATAACTCTGTAGTCTGAACCGGTAAAACCGATTCATCAGTAGGTGTGAATTTGCTCCAAACTATTACAGGGAATCTTAAAAATATTACAAAAAATATGTAATCATCCTTCTCCAAATGTCCCATATAGGTAACAATTTGCATCCCTCCGGTTGAATGTTTCCCAATTTAACGGTATAACATTTCGTAGGACGATGTAACCGTGGCTAGGCAAAGCATATTTTCTCAATCGATACTCACCTGTTTATCTTTCTGCAGTTGTCGCGTGATGGCATCGCTCCGTCGTTTCTGGCTTTTTGTGTCCTCGGAACTGTTCGAGTCCGACTGTTTCGATCCGGCCGATCCGAAGCAACCCATCGCTGACCAGGGGGCCCACCAGCAGGTGGCTCCGCCTTCCGGTGACGTATCGGGAGACTCTGCCCCCCGTGCTTCACCGTTCCGAGCCAGTCTAACTGAGGTGCGATTGTTTTACAGAATCCGTCTTTCTTGATTTAATGATTGCCACCACCCGTCGTCGTCGTCGTGTTGCTCCGTGCTTTCGGATGTTTCTTGTTTGCTTATTCTTCCCCGTGTGCAAAACGTTTCCGAATCTCACTGCACAGTCTATTATTCTTACTATTATTGTTGACTCGGTTTATCGGTCCCGGTACGATAAGAAAAACACTAGTATGTACTCAACCGCATACTAACCCACCAACGGACACACAAACGTGCACAAGTACACTTCCCACTGCCAGTCACGCGTACCGGATGGTCACCACAATGGGGCGCGTGAGACGTGTGCTCTGCTCTGTGTAGTCCTGACTGACACACACTCAACCACTCTACACACACACACGCTCACGAGCGCGCACACCACACACGCACGTTGTGGTTCCTGGCTTCCGTTGGAACTGCCACTGCTCTCTACACCGCTGCCGTTCGAAATATCTGCGTTGTCGGAAAATGGAAACAAACAAAATTTTTATCATCAATTAAAATCAATTCAATCTTTTTTCGCTCATTAATCTTCATCTGGAAGGTGCACTCTAATCTAATCGTTTTAATTATACATGTTCAACAATTCAATCACACCACCAGAATGCACGTTTCTAAGCTATTTTTAGCCGCACTATATTCTATGGACATTCGTTGGTTCGTATGCATGTATCTGTATGTGTGCGTGGTTATTCGTCGTATGTATGTGAGTTTGTTTGCACCATGTTTTTCGCTCCACTGCACACCGTGTATCAACCGCACCACGCTGCCTAGCTCAGAGAAGGTCCACATGCTTCCGATGACTGTTACTACCGGCATCATAGACAGGCTTATTAACTCAGCCATCTATCATCCAACTTGCTAGTTTATCTGATTCATATTGTTGAATCAACCTCCATGATAACAATTAAAGGCATTTTGTATCAAACGACCCCAGTTCTGTCTTGCCACGCCTCTGGTAAGGGTTTATATACACACTATAATAACAGTAAGTACACCTCAAATTCAAACGAACTACCATTCATTATGCAATGTGAGAAAATTCATCTCCCTGGAGGGGGTTACCCACCCCCCGGACCCCTCACGCACACGTGTTCCACGCTCACCCAGTTTCAATCGAGTTGTAACATCAAACGAAGATATCAATTACCGTAGTGGAGCTGAAACCAGCAGCAGTGGCAACAGCATCGTCAAGCCTTAACATCGACGCCAGCGACTCAACGATGATGGGTGTTTATAAATTTGAGCTAGCAATGTAAGTAACTATTTCAGCAAACAGAAACACTCACGGAATGTAGTGTACCTATATGTATGAAATGAATGCTAAATGCATTCGAAGCCTGACTTCCAGTGAAACCGGGCCTGTCTGTAAGTGGAGTGGAAGTCAGTAGCAGCGGGCTACAGCAGCCGCAGTTAATGATGAGAGACGTTAGAAAACCCTATTAAATATGTAATTATCAATTGCATTCTTTCGATGTGTCTATCGATGGAAAGTTCCGGCTGTAGGGTAACCCTGCGCGAAAAGTTCGGAGTGGAGGCAGTTTGGCGATGTAAATAATTATTGCAATAGCTTAGACTCTATATGTTTACATCATTTGCGATAGAAAGCTCAGGGACCAATAATGAGCAACAGCCAACCTCTTATGGGTGTGATTCATTGGAGACGCGTGATATTATATTTGCCTTCAAAAGGACGTTTCTTACAGGTTTATACGTCTGCAATCTGATGCATTTACCCAAACAAGCTGCACACTTAAGAGCGACGATCAATGCATTCGGATCTGATATGTTGCGCTAAATTTGACAGTTAGTCACTTTGCTGCTTCACCGTATCAAATCTGCTCTCAAGAAATTATTACCGAACGTACAACACCATAACGTTCGGTGAATCATTAGCCTTGATTTTAAACCCTATTTTTCTCAGAAATATTTATTGATACACAAAATTGTTTTAAACTACTCGTCAATTCTATAATTTGAAACTGTCAAAAATAAAACTGCAACGCGCAACGCACAGTTCTAAAAGATGTTTGTAATCATCAAGTTCCATAAACTTTGCTGTTCTCTATGAAGTTCTTCGTTTTTTGTTTGTGAAGCTCTTCGAAACATCTTTAAACACATCCAATGAAATTTGAAACAGAGTTCCATTCGTGTTTCAAACTCGCTCAGAAATAAAACAAAATAGTCGAGCAGTTGCAAATCTGGTGCAAATTAGTACTCGAATTATGCAACTCAGCATTGCGAGAGGTGCGTTTCTGTTCTAGTTTCAAATTGAAACAGTCCTTATAAAATACAACAGCATTGCGAACGGCCTTATACTGCCTATAATGCCATATCAGACCCATATGAAAAAAGTAGGCATTGAGAAAATGGCAGTTGAAGTTACGAAGTGCAATTCCCATATAAATATTTGAAAAATCATAGTAAATTAATTGATATTTTTCATGTTGAAATCAGTGAAATCATCAACAATGAAGTTTAAATGTTATGTGTTATCAGCGAAAAATATGGAGATCCAAAAAGCAGAACTGTTTCTTGACCTCTTGACGTTCAAATTTCAAGACGTGACTGATATGCGATTACTTTTCTACATAAATGGGACAAACGGACTTTATGTAGATGCCAATTGATAGTGGATTGGATATCATTGTTATCTTAAAAATGTCGATAATCCATATGGGATTGATATGCTATTATAGGCAGTATAGTATTCTACAAGTCTAAATCATGGTCTACATAACCTTCACTAAACCAAAATTTTTGCTTGTGCATTTTCCTTCTTATTCAAATGCATTCCGATTTTGTCAGCCTCTTTTTTGAAAATATTTTCTAATGATCTACGAAACGCATGCGCTTTTTCAGTGGTCTTATTGCACCAAATGTATTGAAGGTGAAAGAGGTGGATTTGGAATTACGGTTATGTGAAATTATTGAAAGATTAAGGTCTGGCAGAATTTTATTGAACTGTTCAAAGCTTCAACTGTTTGTCCAAATCCGTAATATTTTTTAAACCTGTGACCAACGGATAAGGTACACCGGGGCAAGTGAGAACGGTGGATATAACTCTTTTCAACAGGAATGTCTAGGGTCAAACCCGCATGAAGATGAAAGATACAGTGCTACCGCTTACATTGCATACAATAAAATGATTATTGTTTTCATCCCCGTCTCCAGGAAACACATTTTACTGGCTTATAACTTTAAACTAGCCAATTAAGTTACACGCACTCAATTGGTCGATGAACCTGACGAAATAAAACAGCCAGTTAATAGTAGTTGTAGATTTGAAGGTTTTCACCTTATTACATTAGATGAACTTAGAGTTATTTGATTTTCATTAGGAAAATTGGCTGGAGTAGATATTGGTAATGTTTTTTTTTAATTCGGAACCTAACACTACTGCGACCAGTAATTTGATCTATTGTAGTATATTCCGTGTCCTTAGTTTAGTGCAGGTCGTATTACTTCATTACTATTGAGAAATGATGAAGTATTCGATTTTTGTGCATTTATCACAAGGATCCGGCTCTAATTGAAAGCTCCCGCTATTTATACCCGTTGGAGTCTTGAAACACCCTCCAAAGGCGCGATCCTTTGTCAGTCAAAATTGGATTCCTTAGCAACAAAATTAAGGAATGACACCGATAATGACCATGCATCAGTCTTAACTACTTCACAACGAATAGAAGATTAGGAATCACATAGATGAAGACTAACTTACTCATTTTTTCCTTGTTTAAAGATCATCCTCGGTGGACAAAGCCGAGTCTTGTCACTATCAACAAGGCATAAAAAGTAACAAGGACTAAGATGTGTTCTTGATAACTGAAAAATCGTGTTCCCCTAGTTTGAAGTGGTCAGGACTAGGAATCGGTGGTAGATCTTACATCCCGTAACGTACCACGAAAAGGTGATCTACCCACATTACGGGGCATGTTAATGTTAAAGTTATTAAAGATTGCTTTCATGTCATTGGCCACCTTGCTGGACCTTATTAATGAATCATTGCAAACTGGATATGTGCCACAAATTTGCAAGGAATCCTTAGTGGTTCCTATTCAAAAAGTTGCTGGAACGATTAAAGCCGAAGAGTTTCGTCCCATCAACATGTTGCACACATTAGAGAAAATTTTAGAACTTGTTGTTAAAGGCCAGCTGTTGGAGTATTTAAATAGCAATAGCATAGATGTAACTCTAAGACTAGTAGGTCCCGAAGGAACGTGCTCAACTTTTTTGCTCAGCTCTGGTACTATCTTCGGTCCCAAGCTGATTGGTGCGCCCCTCGAAACATAGGAAAATCCACGAAACCCTCATTTTATATGTCAAACTTTCATAGCGAATCAAAACAAACATTGTGTAGTACTAGAATTTCGAATTGAATGGGGTACGTTAATCGATTTGCTTGGGACCAATAGGCTAGTCAAGTAGTGAACCAATTTAAAATCGTTAGTTTCCGCCGGTTGGTAATAGTTTGTTGATACCAGAACAATTGGGATATCGGGAAGGTAATTTTTTTGAAACCGCGTTAAATTTGGTATTAGCGAGGTGGAAAAATGCAGTTCTCGTAATTCCAAAGCGCTTCATTGAACTCAACAATCAGGGCCTATAAATTGTTTCAAAAGCGCGTTTTAGATCCAAAAAACAGCAACAAGATACGATTGTTACTGTTTTTTGGATCTGAAACGCGCTTTTGAAACAATTTATAGGCCCTGATTGTTGAGTTCAATGAAGCGCTTTGGAATTACGAGCACTGCATATAAATGGTTTGAAAGCTTTTTGTCTGACAGAACTCAACGGACTGTTTTTAATGATTCTGTTTCCAGTCCTCTGGGGAATAACCTTGTAGTGCCCCAGGGAAGTGTATTAAGGCCCCTGTTATTTATTATGTCTATGAATGACTTGCGACGTGTTTCACGATTTTGCGACTTTAATTATTTTGCAGATGATACTAAGGATTTAGATGATGCTGTTTTACACTTGAATGAAGATTTGAGTTTTCTTAGCAAATGGTTGAAGTACAGGGTGCGTCACGAATTTTTGCAGTAAATGGCATATTTGAGAAAAAAATACACCAGTTAGCTATTCTAGCAATGAATTTTGTGCGATTTATTTTCTTTCGCAACATATGGAAGTTGTAAGTAAATTTATTCAAAAAAATTGCCTTCCCTTTCGACGACTGTAGTTAGACGCTTCCGGAAACTGCAGTATGCACGTTTTAAAATGTTTCGATCCATGTCATCACTGCCTTGATTTTAGCTTTTAGCGACTTAAGTGTGGTGTGAGGGGTTCTATTGGTATCCCGTTGGACGACGCCCTATACAAAATAATCCAACGGATTGATATCGGGACTGCTTAGGGGCCAAATTTCTTCCTCCCAAATTTACGAAATATTTTCCGTAAGCCATTTCTGTGCTTTATTAGCAGTATGAGCAGGTGCTCCGTCTTATCACTTT